GGATAAGCTTCTATTTTTCAACTGCAAATGTAACAAAAATCAAAATAAAAGAACTAGTAGGAGATATGGTGCAGCTGTTAACGCACATAGTCTTGGCATATTGAGCTATGGTGCTCATTAGGGTGACAGGTTTGAGTTCAGCTTGCAACATGTACCATTTTCATATCACTGGTTAGGCTGGTCTGCTTCACTGGTATTAGAGACCAGCTGTCTAACTAGCTTAACCAGTGTAAGCCAACTGGGACCAGCAAACCACCATGGCTTGTTTACGTTGGTTTATTTTTTATTTATTCATTTATTTTTTTAAGAGCTTAATATATGATGTGTGACACTACATTCTGTGCAGGTCATAGGCACTTGCCTACACTCTGGTAAAATCCCTTTCCCCTTTGTGAGTCAAACTTCAGTGACTGCATGAATTTACTATTGTGCATCACCCATCATCTAAGATATAACCAACGATAAAAGATATGCCGATAAATCAAACACCCAATACTACACCACGCATCTTCTATTCATAAAACGAATGATGTTCTGGGGTTCAACTTAAGGAGCTGGATGAAATGAAAGTAGAACGAATGGAAATTGTGCATGCAATAAAACTAACATTTTTAATAACATGTTGCAGGTTTTGCACATGAACAGGCTAACAAAAGCCAGCTGTGGCTTTGTGGCTTGTTATTTTTTACATATACAGGTAGCTGAAAGACAGAATATTACACCCGACAAAAAGTAACTCATTTGATACACAAAGAATATCAGAGGTTATAATCTTGACAGAAGGTGAGAGGAAAGTGTGTGAGAGAAAGATAAGCAGAGATAGAGAAACAAACAAAGAAAGACAGGAAGTCAGTTTACCTTACTGGCGGAAGACGAAAAGATTCTATCTTCAGTAGTTTTACTTGAGGAGTAAAGTGCATCGCTACTCTCACTGGTAACCTATAAACGATATTCCAGGCCTCATTACAGAAATCACAAAAAAGGAGTGCTAAAAGAAATGAGAATGTGTTCAAGGTTGCTCACCACACTTCGACACTGTATGAAAAAATATTTGTACATTCCCAGGAAGTCCTGAAAGTCTACAGCTACGTAAAGTTAAGAAAGAAGTGGCAGACAAAACTCCATTAGCAACTATTGCAGTTTATTTGTCAATGAATGATAAGACTTCCAGACACATGAAATGTGCATCCCTTAAAATAATGGAAAACTAAACAAGATTACAAATACTTACTATTGCTCGTGTCCTTGCCTTTGGCTCTAAATTCCTCAGTGACGTAACTGTCTAGCATGTTTCTTTTTATTTGCAGATACAAAAAAAAACAAAAAAACAATATTAGTCAACTAATAATATTAGTCATATTAGTCATTAAAAATACGTGGCCATTCATAGTAACTACAACCAAAATGGCTAAAACTACAGTGCATTAAGTACAATCAATTGATCTTTAATAATGATTAAGAAACATTTATTCTGAAATACACTCTTTCCCAAGTCATGAGAAAGGCCATGACCACAACGTCAAGAAAGTCAACCAGACATGATTACAGAAGAGCAAACCAACAATGTGGGAAGATGTAAACACTTTCAGTCATTACAAAAATGAGGGTTTCAGTACCAGTAAATTCAGACATTTCCTAGAGTTCGCGGCATTCAGAGTCCACAATGCTGAAACAAACCTGCTGAACTGGGGAAAAAGATCGGCGAAAATGCCAACAACAGCATCTCTGTTGATCTCACCACTTCTGTTCTGTAAAATCAAATCAAAAGATATAAATTACTCAAAGGTTTTTATATTTATATATTTAGCTATTAATTACCAAATTATTATTATATAATAATTATAATGACTTATGACCAAAGTAGTAATACAATTAATAACACAATAATAACTAAAAACTAATGAATATTAACTTCAAAATAGTAGCATTTCAAAATGAACAATTATATATTATATAGTATATTGTATGAATTATTTAATTAATAATAAAAAAAGCAATAAAAAAAGTTACCTTGTCATGACTGTCAAATTTCTTGCGGGCATCAGCAATTTGACGGGGCAATAATTCCTAAAAACCATTCACAAATATTACTACAATCATTGCAGATTACACTAAGAAGAAAATCAATATATGTGACCCTGGACCACAAAACCAGTCTTAAGTCACTGGGGTATATTTGTAGCAATAGCCAAAAAAAACATGGTATGGGTCAAAATTTTTCTTTTATGCCAAAAATCATTAGGATATTAAGTAAAGATCATGTTCCATGAAGATATTTTGTAAATTTCCTACCGTAAATATATCAAAACTTAATTTTTGATTAGTAATATGCATTGCTAAGAACTTCATTTGGACAACTTTAAAGGCGATTTTCTCAGTATTTTGATTTTTTTGCACCCTCAGATTCCAGATTTTCAAATAGTTGTATCTCGGCCAAATATTGTCCTAAAACATACATCAATGGAAAGCTTATTTATTCAGCTTTCAGATGATGTATAAATCTCAATTTCGAGAAATTGACCCTTATGACTGGTTTTGTGGTCCAGGGTCACATATAACTCCTATATTATTTGAAATTCTTAGATTATTTTAATATTTAAAATGAATATACAATTTTATTTTTTGATACAAATTTGTAATATACATCACATGCTTGGGACAGTCATGTTGTGCACTTACAAACAAGACAGGATGTCACAATGAACAATTATGAAACCATAGCATTTGAAGTCTCGTCTGACATGACAGTAGTCATGCAGCGCTATGGGCTGGATTCAACAAATGCACGTAAGGTGCCCACAAAACAAGACAAAATGTCTAGAAGTAGGACAAGCTTGTTTTGCACAAGTATCTTAACAGGAAAACCTTTTTTGCAGCACCACTTAAAGATGTTCATTTACATCATCCTTCCCTTGTGTGACCTGAATAATTCGCCTGGGGTTTGTGATGTGTGGGTAAACTGGTGATACGAATCAACCTGAGATGTGCTCTCCAACCACAAGTGAAATAAGTAGGTTAGCACTATTACTAGTCTGTAACTGGATCTGTTCCTGAGAGTGCATCAACTCTACCTGTGCTTACTGTATGTGTGGGTGCAAAAACAGGTTACAGAGAGATCAAGACAGATAACATGGACTGGACCTGAGCCAGCCAGTGGTGGGAAAAGTACCTTGGGAAAAGTTCTCTCAGTCAACCGATCTCCCTGAGAAATAGAAGACATGAGAGAGAGAAAGTCATGCTATCTGAAAGACATGAATTCATCCGATTGGCTGAAATGCAGAGCATCAAAGATCACCTCTGTGAAAATGGAGGTCTTGTCCTTATGCCGGCCCCTCTTCACCAACTCTAGCAGGAGAGGGGTGTTTTTATTCACCTCCGATTCCGATATGCCAAGCTCTTTAGACAGAGTTTCACGACTGTCAATCCCATTGAGCTGAATAACACATAGTAGGGTACGTTAGTTCAGATGAAAGAGATATGAGGTCACAAAGGACATAGCATAGCACATTCAGATCAATCAATCAAAAAATATTTACATGAATTTCTGAATGACAGCTTCATACTGTGTATCACTTACAGCGTTGTATATTATATAACACTGACATACCGTACTAATTTCAGGTTGAAACACCGCTAGGGTGAAGTCTAAATTGAAGACTTGCAGGAAGTCAATGATAAGACCTGCTACCAAGCGACCTACAAGAAGAGAAAGATATGCTGAAAATGCATAATTTTCCAAAGCAAACATTTAGAAATGTAAGCAAAACATCAGATCAAAAATAAATAAATTTCGCAGAAAATCATGTAGTGTATGATGAGCACAATTTTTTTAGCTTTAAGGCCCGTTCACACCAAGCACGATAACTATAAAGATAACGATAAAGATATAGTTATAAAAATCGTTCTCAATATTAAAGAATAGCAGAGTCCACACTACAACTATAACGATAAAGGCACAGAGAAACGATTTTTTTCCAGCTGATGAACGATAGAAACATTGACAGCCAATCAAAATCCATCCTGCTGTAACGAGCTCAAGAATTTAAAGCGGCAGACGCGCGTGCGCTTAGAATACACAGACGATATTGTTCGCTGGTGTGGACGCTAATATCGTTATCTTTATAGTTATCGTTCTTGGAGTGAACGGGGCTTTAGTCTATGATTCCATCCAGTCAGAGAATATTTAACATGTTTGATATTTTGAGCTGATTTTAGAACACATCTAGTCATTTCTCGTGCGTCTCCTAGCAAAGAGATGCATGTGTCCGCATGAGCTTGTTGTGTTCAGAACATCCTGAAAGTCTGAGTGTTTGATCCTCTGTCATTAAGTGTATGATATATGTTTTTTTCTGTAACCATTTGGCAAGTGTATTATGCCTAGTGTTTTAAAATCTGTCTAGATTTTAAAAATTGTGTTGTGTATTACAACCCAAATCAAATCAAAACAAGACAGACAAAACTAATAAGGACAGACCTTTTTTATGGAATTCATACTTACCATCCTTTGTGTTGAGGGACTTTTTCAGGTTTTCATTCACAAGAGGTGATTTATTCTATTTAAAAGAGTTGACATCTATATGACACACTGAATCTTGCACAAGTAAAATAATGTTCATGCAAAAACATACAATTAACATAAAAGCATTTAATCAGCAAAAGATACAATTTATGATGAAATAAAAAAATGCATTAAAACTATTTATAATTACCTCAACTTTGTCCTGCTCTTCTAAGGCAAGAAAAACAGCTGCACGAAGCTCTGCCTGTAAAGAGATAGAGAGAAAGAGACCTATCATCATTTCATATGTCCTTTATTCAGACATGTTTATAACAGTACGGCACCAAACAGACTCATGGAGGATCAGAACAGCTCAAAACTCAGATATGTTACTAAAGCTGCAGTTAGTACAGAAGCACTTTTATGTACAGATACGGTATAACTGCAGTTATAAAAGGTACAGCTCATTAAAGGCATCATATTACAGGTTAAACCAGATTACTTGTTGCCTGATCATGTTAGATGACTTCCTCAATACCTGTGAGTCCAACACCTTTCCAAAATAAAATAAAACAAGACTTTGGAGCCTTGCCGGTTAATTAGAAAACATGTTGTTTAATATTAATACAGCCAAGATAAACAATGACATCATAAGTCTCAATTTTAGTAGCTGAGGGTTATATAACAGCGCAGTCATCACTCAATTTTGTCACACCAGTGGCTGTTGTCCATTTGTTGCCCATAACAACTTTAGCATCACTATGCTAACAAACACTGCGCTAAAAAAACAAAATATTTCCTGTATGAGAAAGGAACTATTCCAGCCTCATAAGGACTTAAAACGTGTTTCGAAACAGCCAGGACAAATACCTTAATTTTATTCAAAACACCGCTGTTTTCCAAGTTTTGGATCAGTAGATCTCTGAGTTCCGTGTCCTCTTCTGTCGCAGACATCTTCAGTTTGTGTCATGTGACTATAGGTTGGAAACCTGCGCACCCTGGCGGCTATCCACAGCATTGCACATTGTGGACCTATGCTTGTGCTATGTTCCAACAACCGGTTCAAGATTGATCTGCTCTGATTCGGCAGTTAGTCCCTCTTGCCATTAGGACGGATGGGAATCCTAACAAATAGGCCTATTAGACCTGGAGCTCGCCTAGGCTCATGAATATGAAAAAGGTAATTGTCAAGATGCGTGATGATTGTCCTGCGGGGTCTCGATTAATATTCTAATGAATATTCATGAGTCAAGCCTTCAACGTAGTTATAATTTACTTCCAAGTAAAAATAACTGTAGCTAGTTTTAATTGCTCGTGTCAAACGTTTTCAGTGACTCCTTCCATTTTTTCCATTACAAAAAGTTAGCAATTTTGACTTAAAAAGCTCTGTATATTTCCGAAAACGCACATTTCAAAAACATAAAATACAAAATATGTCTTTGTATTTTACAATAACTAAAAATACTTTTTTTCCTACAAACTAGAGGGCAAACTTACATATGCTATGGGTCATTCATGTTATGTATTATGTACCTTCTACTCTCTAAAAATGTATAGCCAGTGTTGTAATGTATTTATAGATAAATATTTATAAATATTATAAACATTTATAAATAGAAAATCTTTCTATAAAGTGTATACCAGACTATCAGTGACTATTAATTATAGCTAGAACATATATTTGTAAGACAATTAACAAGATATCTAACCTGTTTCCTATCATCATGATGGCAAAAGGCTGTTTTGTCATTAAGGGCTATTCAAAAGTATCTGAATATTTGAGTATTCTGACAAAATAAACACATTTCCAAGCAACTTGAAAATCTTTAGTATTTCCTTAGATGTTTTGTCAGCGTAACATAATTTCTGCAGGGCTATTTTGTAATGAACTGTAATGATTAATTTTTTCCATCTCTGCTGCCTTTGAAGCATGATCAGTCTTATGACATGAACACCCTTGACCAAAGATGATAGCCTCCAGGTTACGTAGCCTACTGTACATGCAACTGCCACAGAGATGAATGCATATTCATTTTTTTTATTTTTTTTTTTACTCCAGGTATCATAGACCTCCTTGATGCAAACCAATGTAACATCATTCAAAAATGCAATTACGAACATATATGTTAAATAAAAGGGACATGTAATGTGGCAACACAAGTTTTATTGAGTAAGAGATGTCAACACCAGCATGATAAAAATTGTACAAATTTCACAATTTCAAAATGAAATATCACTGCAACTTGTGATCTTAAACACTTAGAGCAAAAAAAAAAAAAAAAGCATGAGCTCTCGGAAAACATAATGCTAGCCGTAATAAAAATACAAAATCATAGATTTAAGAAACAAAGCCCCAAGTAGAGCATCAGCAACAACCAGAGTCATTTCACACTAAAAATCACTGTGACAGTTTGGACTCATGCTCGATAAATATTTAGCTCACAAATCAGCCCTATTTGTGACTTTGCTTGATGCTTTGAATGGGCTCGGACTAAGTGAAGATGAACAGGGGGTTCCCAGACTATAATTGTACATGTCCTTAAGATATTATGGAGTAATATGAACTGGTCATGTCAGTAATCAACCCTCCGAACGCCTGAAACTGCCCACACGCTACTGTAGCGTAATCTGGACCCGTGCCACGCCGTTTCATCGTTTAATTATCAAAAATGCATCCTGCTTCAATTTCCATAATTCTTAGAGCTTAAAGTGCCACTGACGTCTCAGAAACGTAAAAAATAAGCAATGAAAGTGAATCGCAGGTTACCACAGAAGGCAAGCGGACCTCTCTTAATAGCTACTGTATATAACTGATTGGAGTTCACTAATTGTAATATGACGAGTTTGCATTGCTGATATAGTCGTATTTGTTGTGCACTCGTGACCAGATGAATCTCTACATGATTGTTTGGACAAAATCTACAAGATAAGTGCTCCATTACTATGACACAATGACGTATGGATGGTGACATTAACCCTGTATATCCAGCACACCGATAAACTAACATTCACAGTTTCACACACAGATTTACTTTCTTCAAAGGAAAAAAAAAAAAAAACTTCCCACAATTCAAACGTCTGGGCACCTCCTTGGTCTCCTGAAACAAATAAAAACACCAAAACATGGAAACAAAGGTGTCCCTGTGCAAAATCGAACATGAGAAATGTTAAATCATAATGCATTCATCCTTTTGGACTTGATCACCCATGTTTAAACCCTAAAACATGACTGTATTAAAAGATTTATATAAAACGTAATACTTTACATGTAGTAAAAAGATTCATCAGCTTTCTACTATGGTAAGAATAAGAAATTGCATATACCCAAACTTTTGCATCCCATATCTAAATAAATGATTGATTCGTTATCATATATTGCTGATATTCTATCATACTACCTACCACTAACATTTTACGATCATTAAATTAATAATTAATGTTGGATTGTCTCCTTGAAATTTTCTGTAGTTGTTGGCCTCAACCAGCCGGGTGTTACATTTAGAGAATGGACTTTGAAAATATCTGAAAAGCTATGAAATATTTCTTGGGATTTACACCAGTGAGTTTCCGTGTCATGATGTTTGCATTCACAATTTTTTTTTCTATTTTTCCATCTATTTTGGGAATTAAAACGAGAAAAAAAGTAGAAAGAAAAAAACAACTAAACAAACAAGCAAAAATAAAAACAATACACATACTGCATTAGAGTGCCCACACTGACCACTATAAATATGATTTCAGAACCAAAAGACAATGTTTCTCAATATTTTTACAAAATGTACCCAAAATCGAACCACAAAAATGAACCACTGTACACCCATTGAACAGCCTGCACAGCACCTTAGTTCCCATTACTTCCATAAAGAGAAGCTCAGATCGAAGCTGATTGCCCTTACATTCCCTCAGTGTATCCCCTCTGCACCTCTTTAGATTTAAAATAATGGATGGTTTTTGTTTACAATTAATAAATACATATACACTAAAATGTGCATACATTAGCAGCTATAAACAGTACATCACATTATGTCAGGTCATATGAAAAATGTACAAAACATGAATGTTCCTCAAAACATTTGCCATTGGCAGTCGTCATCTTAAAGCAAGGCAACAAATAAGTTATGTATTTTTTGTTAAAAGCATAACAGAATCATAAATAATGCCAAAAAATACAATAAATTACAGCAGCAAAAAAATCATACTAGTTATCCATACTTTTTACATGATGGGCTTCTTTTGTTTCTTAACGCTCAGATCACATGACCCCATTACTCGGCCAATAATAGCAAAGCTACACTTGGATGCCTTGAACCGCTTGCTTTATGTTCTCCAAGAGGACCTTGTTCTCCGGGCTCTGGTACTGGTCCTGGTGAGTATACATATCTGTCAAAGTGCTCACATAAGTGTCAAAGTTTTGCTCGTTCATCGGCTCCTGTGGAACAGATTGGGATCATTGGAGGTCGAAAAACAAACCAAGCATAAAATGTTCAATCAAACACACAATCAAGGCTTAAGACAGAAAGGGAAGGGGAAAGAGGAGATATTTAGGGAGGAATGAACCCACCAAGCTGCCTTTAACGCTAAATATATAAGCTAGGGTTTTAGAGAAATTACATCTGAAATGCAGGGCTTGACCAATCACATTAAAATGGTCACCAAATCAAGCATAAGTCTATTACACTGTCTATAAAAATATATATCTGATGGATAACAAAAATTAATGCACATACATTATGTATGCATGCACTGGTGTGAATTTCATGCTCATGAGTATGTAGGTAATACTGGCATTCACAAGTGATATCAAACAGATCGCCATGGATAGCAGACAGATATCGATGAGCATCACTGTGCCTAATAAAATAATGTGTTTTACGATAATAACATGAGTTTACTACCAAAAATAAATATGGCTCATATTGCAACCCCAGCTTTCTTATTGCTATTCCCTGAAGTGGATTATGTCAATATGTGTGGCACTGATACACTCTATGGACCTTCGTGATGCATACACATCGTACTGTGTTACAAAAGGGGGAGGACTAGGGGGAGGAAAATGATAGTGAGGAGAAGGATAAAGTTAGACTATGGAAAATGAATCTCTTACTCTGTGGGGCATCTGTAAACAGCAGTAATTTTTAACAGGGGCCTCTTTCAGTGGCATCGGTTTCTACAGAAGGGAGAGGTGTAGAGAAAAGACTATTAGCCTGGCTAAAAGCCAGAGAGGTCAGTGGTCTCAATAAAACTGACATACTTGACTTTACACGTGGAAGTACAGAAGACCAAGTTCTGCTTGAGAGGCATGACACATGAACAGGCAACAGTCGTCTGATGTTAGTGCAGCTCGAGGACCACTCTAAATAGCATCCATCAACAGTGGGGGTGGAGAATTCAGGAGCCATATTCAGGAAGACATGTTTCAGTTGTTTACTAACATGGCTGCCACATTTGAACGGGGCTTGTCCAATCGTGCCCCGGCTCAATGTGTATGTGAAGGCACTGTGATTTGATCGTGTGGGAGAATCTGATCCACAGCAGCCATGTTGTTACTCAACTGAAAAGCAGTTGTTGGAGTGGAGGTTATTTTTCTACAATGGTCTGTAAAGGGGAGTGACCTCAGCACAGAAGCATATGGAACCGCGAGGAACTCAACAACAGACATAAAGAAGCAGATGGGAGAAACAATAGAAACCGGAATTTCATCCCTACTGTCTGAAATGCAAACTCAGGCCCTGGCTTTCAACAAGAGGCAGTCTATAGTCTAAAAGACTATTCTAAGCAGATAAACATTTATTGATATATTAACAAACTTAAGTAACTATTTTGAATTGATTCAGATTTTTGTGATTGTAAACAACTATCAAAATTTTTATCCTGACTTCACTGAGATGTATATATGTATATATATATATATATATATATATATATTCTTTTACCCTTACACTCTTAAAAATAAAGGTTCTTTTATCAGCATTGATGGTTCCATGAAGAACCTTTAACATCCAAGGAACCTTTCCATTCCACAAA